TCTCTCTCTCTCTCTCTCTCTCTCTCTCTCTCTGTGTGTGTGTGTGTGTGTGTGTGTGTGTGTGTGTGTGCGTGTGTATGTGTGTGCGTGTGTGTGTGTGTGTGTGTGTGTTGTTACATATCTATCAACGACAAGAGCGCACTTCGCAAAATAAACGAAAAAAATGCACATGCCAAACATATCTATCAAGTACAAGAGCACACTGAAACCATTCTTTAGACCATTGTGTGTGTGTGCGTGTACATATATGATGAGTCGGTGAAACTCCGACGAAACAGTTTGTCACAGCCCCTCGTTTGTTGTCCTCTTCTCCTTCTCCCTCTCTGCCTACGGTTTACCGGGCAGTTCTATTTGACGATATATATATATATATATATATAAGTTTCGAATAATATTTGATGATATATATTCCGCGAAACAGTTTGTCACAGCCCCTCGTTTGTTGTCCTCTTCTCTCTCTCTGCCTACGGTTTACCGGGCAGCTCTATTTGAGGATATATATATGGGTAGCACCGCGTACGCGTATGCACCGTACGTATGCACGTGTATGCGTACATGTCCGAAAACCCGCATACGCGTACGTATTTTATTTTTGATTTTTTTTAATAAATATATGTATAGATTGTATTGTATATATAATATTATATAATATATATAAATTAATATAATATATATAATATATACCGGGCAGTTCTATTTGACGATATATACATAATATATTGTTTTTAAATGTATAGGAGGAGGAGGAGGAGGAAGATCTTCCTCCTCCTCCTCCTCCCATAGCCGACGGGCGATGGCGACGGGCGATGGTGAGGGGCGATGGCGACGGGCGACGGGCAACGGGCGATGGCGACAGGAGATGGCGACTCCTTGGGCGATGGCGATGGCGATGGCGATGGTGACAGGAGATGGCGACTCCTTGGGCGATGGCGATGGCGACTGGCGATGACGACGGGCGATGGCGATGGCAACGGGCGATGGCGACAGGCGATGGCGACTCCTCTTCGGGCGATGGCAATGGCGACAGGCGATGGCGACGGGGCGATGGCGACAGGCGATGGCGATGGCGACGGGCGATGACGACGGGCATGGTGACTCCTCCTCGGGCGATGACGGTGCACCTCCCGACCGGACCACTTCCCTGTGTTAGCCCCGTCCCCCGAAGTCCCCCCACTTGGCACCACGGCCAAAAACGGGCACAGAAATGGCCCGCAACGACCACGTACACGGGCCCCATTTTTGAGTATGTGTGCACACGTCCGTGCATATGTGCATACGCACATGCACGTCCACGGACCCCGAGTACGTGTACGCCGTGCAACCCAGATAT